AAAGGCTGTACTGAAGCACTCTAGAGCGGATGGGAGGAGTGGGCAGCATGCATGGGAACGGTGCTGCTCACAGGTGCTGGGCGAGCAGGACAGTGGCAATGGGGACTGGGAGAAGCCTGTGCTAATGACATGCATTTTGGAACAACTGTAATCGCCTGACAGGTTCATCTTGCCCACTGCCCAGATAGAGCCGATTTATCAAGACAGGGGAACTACAATAGAAAAAGAGTTAAATATACATAGAGCTGTCTAAAAGGGAGACTGGGGTTTTATTATTACTCAAATCAGCCTCCCTGAAGATTCGGAGGCTGGGTTTTTAACGCTAGTTTGGTGGGCAGGGGGCTAGGGAATGGGGAATGCTGATTGGTCAGATTAAGGATGAAATCCTAGGGAGTCGAAGCTGTCCTCTTGCACAGAGTCAGTTTCTGGGTGGGGGCCAAAAGACCAGATGAGTCAGTGTCCTGGTCTGCATGGTGCCAGCTGATCCATCAAAATGTGGGGTCTGAAAATATCTCAAACATCAATCTTAGGTTTCACAGCAGTAATGCTATCTATAGGAGCAATTGGGGAGGTTAGTGGTCTTCCGGCTTCTGGCTACATCACTCCTGAGCCATAATTTCTAATCTCGTGGGTAATTTGTTGGTTTTACAAAAGTGGCCTTGTTCTCAAGCAAGAAGGGGGTTTGTTTCCAGGAGGGGCTGTTATCGTGTTTGTTTCAAAGTTAAAACTATAAATTAACTTCCTCCCAGAGTCAGTTTGGCCTACGACTGGTAATGATCAAGGGCATCTGGGAGGTTAAAGGCAAGACAGAGTTGATTAGGTTAGATCTCGTTTGCTGTCATAATTTTCTCACTGTTACAACCTTTGCAAAGGTGGTTTCATTACTGGCATACTGGTGAGAGAGGAAGCCACAGTAGGTAGTAAGAATGTGTGGTGGGGAAGGGCAAGGATTCCATGGCCTGCCCTGGCTCAGAGGCTCACCAGCTGTGATCTTCAGGTTATGTCATCACTACGCTTTCATTGCCTGCCTGCCACACAGGCTTAACAGCAGTACCTCCCTCACAGGGTTGATGTGAGGACCAAATGAGATAAAATATGACTAACTGGTGCTTATCAGAGTACCTAATACAGAATAAACATTCAGGATGGAAACATAAGGTGGGCATGGGTGGGGGATGGGTGGGAGGGTAGCTAGATAGGTAGAACTTTTTTTCCTAAGCAAAGTAGAGACAAATAAAAGAAAAGGGCCTGAAACAGAGCCCTGGAGTTCTTAGGGGATAGACGAAGGACAAAGAGGCAAAAATGAGTGGTGAGAGAAGCCAAAAAATACTGCAGTGGAAGTCAAGGAAATAGGAAATTTCAAGAAACTGATGATGGTCAACAGGATCAAAAACTGTGGCAAAGTAGAAGAGCTGAGAAAAAACCATCAAGGCACTTAACACCATTCTCATTAGAGAAGGACATGCTTCAAGTACAGTGACTTGCCATTTCACATTTATCACCAGAATTGGACAGGATAGCCTGAAAGCACACTTTAAAACTTTTTATTCCTTTTTCTCTTTTCTCCCTAGTCTCAAGATGTAATCCTAAGGCTTACTGCAGAAACCCTTTTTTTCCTCCTTAGTCTTAGAATACAGTCTTGAAACATACTTTCTCTGAAACACCACAGATGCATATTTATCTAACTGTATGTATCTAATTATGTGCTTACCTGGAAGTTCCAGGGGCTAACTTGAGATAGACTGAGCATGGAGATCTAACTGCAAAATTCCAGAGATTACCTCAAGGCGGGTAGTCTACAACCTGGCCATTGCTGACATGTCGCCAGCCTGAGATGACAGGTACTAGCAGAAAGAGACACACAGACCTAGTACTCAGCACCGCTCCTGCCTTCCCACTGCTTGCTCTGGAAATAAAGTCACCTTCCTTTTGTCCTTGTTATTGGCTTTGCAAGCAGTGAGTAGCCGAGCCTGTGCTCGGTTACATTATCACGGTTAAAATCGAAAAGCCTATTTACACCAAATGCTGGCAAGGATAGGCAGCAATTATAACTCTCATGCATTGCTACAAGGAATGAAAAACCACTTTGGGAAACTGCTTGGTAGTTTATTTTAATGCTAAGCATGCACCTACCATTTGTATGACCCACTAATTTCACCCTTAGGTATTTATTCAAAGGAAATAAATCAGTATGTCCACAAAGAGACTTGTGGAAGATGCTACTCACAAAGGCTTTATTCCTACTAGTCTCAAAGTGGAAACAGTCCAGTATTCTCTATTAGATAAATGGATAAGCAAACTGTGGTAACTTCACACAATGGAATATTACAAATAATAAAGCAACAAAAAGGAACAAACTACTGGTATACACAACATGCAAGAACTTCAAAAACATGTGGAGTAAAAGAAGGTAGACACACCAGAGTGTGTACCATACAAGTCTATTTATATTCCCCTTAAGGAAAAGCCACTGGATTTGGTGATTAGGAAGTCACAGAGGAGCATTAGGAGACAAATTTCAGAAAAATGGTGGAAACCAAGCCATATGGTTGGCGCGGAGTAAAAGGTGAGGAAGCAGAGGTCACGTCAACTGCAGTCTGTAGCCCAAGCCTACCCTGCAGGCATGGCTCCCTGTGGTCTGAGAACTAAGAATGGTTAAAGGTTTTTAAAGGTTGTAAAAAAACAAAACAAAACAATATGCGACAGAAACCATACGTGGCCCACAGAGCCTAAACTATACTATCTGGCTCTTACAGAAAGTTGGCTGATCCCTGATTAGACTTTCTCCCTGTGTTTGGCACTGACGTGAAATGAAGTGACAGTGCCTGTGGCTTAAGGAGCAAGCAAGGTCAAACGTACAAGCTAAAAGGAAGAACCAGATGACCAAAAATAGCTGGGAATCATGAATACAGCAGTACCTGAGAGGCGGTGTGAGTGATGAGACAAAGGATGCACTCGCAGCACATGTATAAACTAAAGGGAAGAAGAGAGCCAGATGATGAAAACTGGCCAGGAATCATGAATACAGCAGTACCTGAGAGGCGGTGTGAGTGATGAGATAAAGGATGCGTTCGCACTGCTTCTCAGGCACCGCTGCACTCATGATTCCCAGCTATTTTTGGTCATCTGGCTCTTTTCTTCCCTTTAGTTTATACACATGTAGGACAGTATCCTTAAAAACAAAGAGAGGGGTTTCTCTATGACAGGTGGAAAGAACGCGATGAGGTGAGGAGGGAACTGAGAGATCCTATCAGAGGTTCCAGACTTCACAGAGGAGTAGGCTTTGATGCCACCTCAATGGGGCCTGTCCTGACTACTCTGTGTAAGAATCACGAGCTTTCCCAGCACTCCCGATCCTTGTTACCTTGGTTCCACTCTTCCTTTTCTTTCTGTAGGACCTATGACCTAATGTACTATACACGTAGTGCTTGTCTTTGCCAGCCCACGAGAATGCAAGCGCCATGAGGGCAGGAATACTTGTATTTTATTCCCCGATGTGCCCTAAGCATCTAGAATTCAATAAACCTGTGACGAACCAGGAAGTTTAATCTGGAGTGAGGGGTCAAGCTGGAGCAGGGGATCTCAATGTCAGCACCTCCTCAGTTTGGGGCTGGGTAAGTCCCTGTTGTGGAGAGTTGTCCAGAGTTTTGCACATTCCTGGACTCTACCCACTAAATGCTTGCAGCACTCCTCTTGGGACAAACAAAAATTTCTCCAGACATTGCAAATGTCCCCTGGGGTGCAAAATCACCACACTTGAGAACTGCTGTGCTAGTCATGGACTTTAGGACTAGGAGGAAATCATTCATTCAACAAGTATTTACTGAGTGCCAAATATGGGTGAGGAACTACGGAAACATGATGGAAACCTGACAAGGTCCTTGACCTCATGACATGTACGGCCTGGTGACGTAAACTATAATTATTAAATAATTACAAATTGTGTTTAGTTACTGAAGAAAATGTACAGGGTGGAGAAACTAACAGAAGTGACCTATTTTATAAAGGGTAGTGAGAGAAGGCCTCTCGGAAGAGGGAGTATTAAGTTGAGCCTTTAAGTTTGAAAAGGAAACCACCATGGGAAGAGAAGGAACAGCACACGCCCAGGCCCTGCACCAGGAAAGGGCATGGCACCTTCAAGGAAGGCTGGCATGGCTGGAGCACCATGGTGGGAAGGCGGTGTTTGAAATGAGGCCAGGGGCTAGGTCAGGAGCAAGGAGACCGCAGTGTAGAGGCTGGTATTAATCCTAATTACAACGTGGTATTCATGGTGGGTTTACTCAGGTGGCGACATAATCCAATTAAAGTTTAAAAAAGACTCTGGCTACTGAGTAGAAACTGGACCTAGCCACCAGAAGGAATGTCACCATGAGTAACATTAGGGGATGAACAGAAGGATTCATCAAAAGTGCCCTAAGAAATGAAGGCTATGCCAAAGTGAGTGTGTAGCTGCCTCTAGCAGGTGTCAAAAGCCTGGGAGAAGGACAGAAGAAGAAAATGGCCATCAGGACTGAGGACTGGGAATTGGTGAGGGAGTCATGACCCAGCGACATGAGGGTAAGGACTGAAATGTGCTCATGAGAACGTCACCAAAACAGCAAAACTGGTGTCACAGACTGGGACAGCAAGAGATGGGCAAAAATAGCTTAGCAGAGGCTTGAAAACTTTGTTCTTCCACAGGTTCAGGGCATACAAATACATGTGTCCCCAACTTCAAATACAGCTCTGTAAGTATTTATGGAGTGAGTTTCATTTGACAGGAGATAATGGTATATATAGAGATACAAATAGACTGGAAGATATACTGTGATTTCATGACTTTGAGGACATGCAGTGCTGCAGAGTCTTTTGCTTTGAGGAGATTTTTCCACTGCCAAACTGGTCTTCCTCATTACAACTCTGAGTTATTAACAAAAAGGTGAGGGCAAAAAGCACAAAAGAAACATAGGCATAGAAAAGAGCACAGTCACCAAAGTCCTAGTAAAAAAATATGTACTTACCTATAAGCATTAATATAATCTTTCCTGTGTTCCAGAAGAAAATCTCTCAGTTTGCCAATGTGAGAAATCTAAAATTAAAAAAGAAAGCCAACAGTTTATATAGATAGATATGTTACACTCATGTAATGAATTTTCAATCAATAGAGAATAAAATACAAATTGCAGAAAGATTCTGAAGCTACAAACTGAGCACCGTTGGTTTTAGACTCTCCTACAGTCACAAATTAGTTACCATTCCTGGGCCTCAGTCTCTCATCGATGGTTCCTTCTACCTCTAACTGTTAGGACCTATGACACTACAAGTAGGTGATTTCTAAGTAACTTAAAGATGAAATGAGATAATGCATGTCTAGTAATTACATACCATGCATTCAATAAAGGTTAATTCCTTTTCTTTTCTTATAGCTAAAATTGTACAGCAAGTATTCCTTCTTCCAAGTGTCCTAAGGGACAGTTCTAAAGCTGAAGCTGTTGGGTTTGTAAATAGGGTCCATGCAGAGCAGCAGAGTTAAAGCAAAGATTCAGGGGTAACAATTTATCCCCACATAGCAAATATCTGTCTTTCCTCTGGGCTATTTCCACGGATGAAGAAAAAGAACTCAAACGTACAGGAACAAAGCGTTGTGTTTGTGATGGCTGTTTCTAGTATAATAAAAAACCTATTCTAAAGCACCTGTCAGGTACTGTGCATGGAACTAGCAATTCACAAATAAATAAAAAGTGGTGGGAAGAAAGCTCAGACCACAGTCAATGGGGACAAACATGTTTCCAGAGGGAGAATGACTACTAGCCAGTGGCCTGCTGGTCCTCTGACGACATCTTACTTCAGCTTCCGACTCACACACTTTGCGCTCGTTTTAAACACGTGGCCCCAGCCTTGCAAGGTCTGCTGAACTTTCGTCTCTTCCATGGAAATTTTTCTGTCAAGGCCAATCCAGGCTAATTTTCACTTTGCTCTGATCTTAAAAGGACTTCTGCACACTACCCTCTTGGCACTCAATTATTCATGGCCATGTACTCTGACCTAACTTGTAAATACATACTTCTTTGTCAGTGGCAGAACTATGCATGGAGGACCTGCTCAGCTTCCCCTACAGTTGTAAGCACAAGAAGCAGCACAGGGGAGATCAATAAACACTGTGGAATGAATATATGCCTAAATACAAAATAGCACTGATCACAAAAGAAACATCCATGGTTTGTCTGGAGATATGTCAGTTTGGGTTCAGCTAAATTTCCCACATAGTCTAGACTCTTATTATAAATGTGATTCAGAAAAATACCCTAAGGCATTGTAAGCAAACAAATCAAAGAAAACCAATTAAGTATGGTCACAATATTCATTTATTTCACAGATAACAAATCAGGACTAAGAGACTGTCCACCATCCCTGACATTGCTCAACACTTTCACGTACTTGGGCTATTTCTCTTCCCAACAACCCTGCTGTGCTATGATTCCTACTGTTCTCATTAACCATTTGGGAAAAGCTAAGTGACTAGTCCAAGGTTACATGTTTAGTATGTGAGCTTGGTTTCAAAAGCTCAGGACTAAGTCCAAATTCAGCGTTTCCTAGTGTACCACTGCTGCCTGCCTTACAATCCCTGTTCCTGCTTTCCACTTAGGCTGCATCAGGAAATCTGACTTTTTTTTCTTTTTTCCTTTTTATGAGACAGAGTCTTGCTCTGTCACCCAGGGCTGGAGTGCAGTGGCGCGATCTCGACTCACTGCAAGCTCCACCTCCTGGGTTCATGCCATTCTCCTGCCTCAGCCTCCGGAGTAGCTGGGACTACAGGCACACGCCACCATGCCCGGCTAATTTTTTTTGTATTTTTAATAGAGACGGGGTTTCACCATGTTAGCCAGGATGGTCCCAATCTCCTGACCTCACGATCCGCCTGCCTCGGCCTCCCAAAGTGCTGGGATTACAGGCGTGAGCCACCGCGCCTAGTCAGAAATCTGACTTTTAAGTCTGTTGGGAAAAAAAATTAAGAGATACGCAAGCAAGGGGTTAATTGCATCACATACAAGATTTTACCAAGCTACTCTTCTGTTTTAAAACCTTCAATGGTTTCCATCTCCTTACCTCCTCCCCTGCCTACCAGGGGTCAAAAACTCAACTGCTTCCAGGGGCCAGGTGAACAGTATAAATGAGCAAAGCAAGGGAAATGGGTGGGTAGAATATACTTGACAGTGGTGAATACTGGTTTCAAAATACACTGCAGTTAAAGGAAGCAGCTCTGCAGACTGATTTGTCAAAGGGCAGCCAATGAGTCACCTCAGTGTCTAAACAATGGGAAAAAGTCCAAACTCCCAAATGCAGCACACAAGGCCCTTCATAACTCAGCCTTGAAAGTCCCTGCCGCACACCCTGCACCACTCCAGCCTCCATCCCGCAACACTTCAGCCTCCAAGCCCCAGGCCTTCCCCTCACTTGCATATTCATATGGTTCTCCCTTTCCCTGGAATGCCCAACCCATCATTCTCTCCCAGGCAAATTCTTCCTCCTCGTTCAAGATTCTCTTTTCCTCCTCATACTCACCCTACACTCCCAGCTGCAGTCAGATCTCATTCCCGCATAAAATGCTACAAGTGCATCTATTTCAGCACCTGCTCCTTCATGATAACAATGACTAGTTCATAGACGGATTTGCCTTCACCAGACTGCAAGCTCGGAGAGGGCAGAGTCCTCTCTCTTTCCCCAGAGCTTGTCAGGCACAGTTCCCGGCACAAAGCAGACCCTCAAAAACTTTTACTAAATACTGAATAAATGGTGGGTGCTGAATAATCCCAGAAGGATTATACCTCCTATGGTAGGCAGAATAATGGTTTTCCAGCTTCCCCAGTCCCATCCCCCTGTAAGATGTCCAACTCCTAATCGCTGGAATCTGTGACTACATGGTGTTACATGACAACAGGGAATTAATGCAGCAGATGAGTTAAGGCTGCCTTAAAGTAGAGAGATTATCCTGGATTATCTGGGTAGGCCCAATGTAATCACAAGGCTCGGTAGATGTGGAAGTGGGAGGCAGAGGGAGAATGAGAGTAAGGCAGTGTGAGAAAGACTCATTCCAATGTTGCTGGTTTTGCAGATGGGGAAAGGAAGCCAAGGAATGTGGGCAGCCTCTAGAAGCTGGAAAGGGCAGGGCAATGGGCCTTCCTTAGAGCCTCCAGAAAAGAACACAGTCCTGCCAACACCTTGATTTTAGCTCAGGGAGTCCCATTTTGGACACCCGACCTATAGAACTATAAGACAATAAATCTGTGTTGTTGTAAGCCACAAGTTTGAGGCAATTTGTTACAGCAGCAATGAGAAACGAACACACCAGCAGCAATGAGAAACTAAGAGCCTTACTATCCACAACAGGTTTTCCTTTTTTTTTTTTTTTTTAGAAGTCATAAAGTTTTCCATACAAAGTTTTGAAAAGTCCAGAGGAATCTACTATACAGGTTAGATCCAGCTGCCCACCCCTACTTTTAGTTAGTTCTATTCTACAAGGGAGGGATGGTGCCTGGGGATGAGTGCCAGGAGCAAGCAAGCCCCACAGGAGCCCACAAGCACATACTTATTATACAAGAGGTTGCAGTTAGTCTAACAAATGTGATCCCAACTTCATATGCTCTGTAATGGGAAATTTCTATGAAATAAGGTTATTAAAACAGAGTGCAGCTGGTTCAGGATTAAATGGAATTCTTGACAAGAGGTATGTTAAGTAATTACTGACTAAATAACATCAGCATAATAACTCAATACTTAACAGGAACACAATGTATGATATTTTAAATGCTAAGAATGAAAAAATAAAGGAACATTAAGATTTCTTTAGAAATTCGAGAGCTCTGAATTTTCAATTAATTTCTTTAAAAAAAAAATCATGACAAATCAACAGCAAAGAAAAAAGTTCAATAGATCTTTGATTTATCTACATAGGCATACCTAAGTCCCCAAATAGCATAACACAATTATCTCTGTAGAGAATGATTTGACTGTTTAATCACATGACTACCATTAACTTTATAAAGACTCTTGGCCAAGCTTAATCTATTTACTGTTAGGCTTAGTCCTATTTTTCAGAATAAACTGGCAAAGAGAGCATATTATAGTGCATACAATTCTGACGTGCTTGTTACATTTTCACATTTTTAGAGAGGTTAAGTAGTTGTGCGCTTTGGATTTTTCTTTTTTGCAGATATGGGGTCTTGCTATGTTGTCTAGGCTGGTCTCAAATTCCTGGGCTCAAGTGATCCTCCCCTCTTGGCCTTCCAAAGCGCTGGGATTACAGGCATGAGCCACCATATCCGGCCTATGTTTTGGACTTTAAATGTTTCCATATGTAGTGCTAATTTTGGAAGAGTCACTTAATATGATAAAGCAGGAATAAGTATATACATAAAGAGAATGCCTCTTACTTCTAAAAAGAGAAAGGCCATTCTGGTGTAAACTTTGATAAGGAAATCAGAGTAAAATAAAAGTGTATTTTAAGGATCTAAAACTAGTGTCAATTTCTAACAGTTTTGATCTCACTGAATGATGTGGGGAAAGGGCACAGGGAAAAAAGGGATCATTGGTGAAGTCTCTGTGGGACCAAGTAGGTAACAAGATGCAAGGGCTAAAAACTGGGAGTGCTTTGGATGCTGAACCCATGTTTTGAGGCACCTCACAGGCCTGGACAGCAGGAGGAACACACCATTTTCACTGCTCTGTGTCTTTGTAACTGCTCTTCCTCTGCCTGGAAAGCCTTCCTTTATCCCAAACCCCATTCCATCTTTCAGGCTCTGCTTAAATGACACCTCCTTTACGCAGCTTTCGCTAATATCTCCCTCTATATTTTGTAGATAACTGTTTGCACTTTCCACATTACATTAGAAGTATTTATCTGTGATACCCACTAGACTTCAAGTAAGTTCCTTGAGGTTGGCATCTCTGTCTTGTTCATTTTTGTACACCCACTAGTGCCTAAATGTTGGAAAGGGGTAAAGGGGGGGAAAAGGGAGGAGGAGAAAAAAAGGAGATCCAACAGAAAAGGCTTCAAGATCTGATACATCCTGATGTACTAGGTGTATCAAA